ATTGTAATATATTTAAATATATATATATATTTTTATTAAATATAATTAATTTAAATAATATATTTAAAAATATATAAATTTATATTAAATATATTAAAAATATATAAATTAATTTCTATTAAATATATAAAAATATATAAATTAATTTCTATTAAATATATTAAAAATATATAAATTAATTTCTATTAAATATGTAAAAATATATAAAATTATATTAAATATGAAAAATATATAAATTAATTTCTATTAAATATATATAAAAATATATAAATTAATTTATATTAAATATATTTAAAATATATAAATTTATTTTAAATATGTTTATTCCAAAATTTGTTTATTCCAAGAGAATCGTTGTTTCTAAATAGAACATTTCTAAACGTAATTTCTACACAATGTTATTCCCATATTTTTCATCAAAATGGACCAATGCCAATTAGTTAAAACTTTGTTACGAATATTACGCGTTAAATTGTAATAGAAATTTTCATCTTAAAGAGTATTTAAATAATTCTAAGTAACTATGGAAAATATCCAATAGACATTACACGAGTACATAATTATTTCTAAAAAAAAACCCGTTCTTATAAGAACTGTTTTTCAAGTTGAGCCAAGAAAATACATGAATAAAAAAAAATCCAAATAAAATCTATCCACGTTTACACACACACACACACACAAAAGTTACACATTTACATATCGAAATAAGCTTTGGCACGTTAAGTGTTTAAGTTCAAGCCTTGAAACGTGACTTACATCTACTATGTGATTAGAATTCAAATTTCAATCTCGTGTGGATCAATGAGTTAATTCGAAGTGTCGTCCAACTTAATTAACTTTCTCTCTCTCTCTCTCTCTCTCTCTTTCACTCTCTCACTCTTTTTCGTTGATATATTCAAAGAAAAATAATGATGAATATTTATGTTTCTTACAACGTGTTGCAAATTATGTACATTTCTTAATAAATAAGGGAATATTATGCCAAGTAAATCTCATCTATGTTCAAACCCAAATTCACACTCTGACTATACTCTTTTGATTAAAAATTTATTTCTATATAATATATATTATATTATATATTATAATATTATAATATATATTATATATAATGTTGTTTATATTGTTTTATATTGTTTTTTATATTGTTAATATTAATATCTAATATTATATTAGGGCGTAATTAGAATTAAGTATATATTATATATAATATTATTATTATATTACTATTATATTATTATTATATTATTATAATATAGATAGATAGATAGATAGATTATATTATAATATATTATATTATATTATTACATTATATTATTATATTATATTATTATATACTATATTATTATATTATATTATTAATAATATAATATGTTAATTTAAGGTTAGGTTATAAAGTTTTAGGTGTTAATATATATATATATAGGTTATTATAATATTATAATATTATAATACAATACATAATTTATTTAGTAAATAAATAAATAAATAATATTAAATTTATATAATAATATTATAATATATAATATAATATAATATAATATAATTTATATATTGTTTCAATTTTCATAAACATTTATAAAAAATATCAATTAACGTGTATAACAAATGACACAATTTTTTACCATAAAATATAAAAAAATAATTTTCTCCTCGTAAAACTATTTCAAATAAATTTAGATTGATTTGTTCAACAAAATATAAATGTTTTTACTATCGATCAATATTTTCTTCTTCTTTTTTTTTTTGTCTTTTTTTCTCTTCTCAACGAGTGGTCAATTTTTATGAAAGGAAAAGTAAAAAAAGAAGAAGAAGAAAAAAAAAAAAGACTTTTGACCTTAAATCCTCCTCCGCGTTTGAAAAATATGTTTGCCTGGAAGAAAATAACATCGTACAAATACACACACACATACACACACACAAACATGCATGCACACTGCTCGTATATCTACACATACATAAAGATACTTTTTTATATTCGAGGTAAACATATCGTATTTTTTGAAGAAAAAAAAAAAATAAAAAAAATAAATAAAAAAAAATAGAAGAAGAAAAAGAAGAAGAAAAAGTACTTGGACTATCGTAAAATTGTTTACGATGGTCTCTCATTATCACCGATAAGAAATTATTTCTATAATATGTTATTTATGTCCCATATATATATATTATCCCACGTAAATAAAAATCATTTTTTCGTCATATTTCGTCTCCGTCAATTTTCGCATAATCTTCATCAATTTAATTTCTTCTTTTTTTTTTTTTTTCTCATATTTTCTTATATATATAAATTATAATAAATACAAAATAATCATCGTCAAATATTATCGTAAAAAAAAAAAGAAAAAATCACTGATTACAATATTGTAAATAAAATTATTCTCGGATCATTAATATATTTCAACAAAAAGATATTTCTTTTTAATCTTCATTAGAATTGGGGGAAGTTAATAGGTTATAAATTGTTTTTATAATATTTAATAATAATGTAAAAATAATATTTAATAATATTTATAATTGTTAATTAATTATAAAACAATTTTTTTTTGGTAATAAAAGACAAATCTTTGTACATTGTACAAATGCATAAATTAAATAAACAAAATATACAGATTATAGTTTAATACAAATGAGGGTGTGGACAAACTAAGACCTAAGTTAAGAGGTTATGTTGAGTATTTGAAGTAGAATGAAAGGGTGGGGGGAAGTTAATAGGTTATCCACAATTGAACTTTTCGAGAAGACTAATGATGTATTATATTATATTTATTTTAGATAGTTATATTTTCTTATTCTGACTATAATCACACTTCGATATTTTTCATATCAAACAGCACATATACACACACTTATGTGAATCATGTATGAATACGTATATATATACATATACATGGGTCAATGGCATCATATAGAAAATCCGGTTTTCTCGCAATAAATTGTTGAAAGAAGCTTCTGTTGTTTTTATTCTTATCATAGTGATGATATTTACTCG